TGGGTAGCACCCAGTCCCTGCAGTCCAGGGACTATCACTGACAAATCATCGAGGTTGTCGATAGCCGTCCCCAGGGTACCCATGACAAGTTGTATGTGTCTTTGAAAGTCATCAGCATCGATATCAGTTGATGAAAAGTACGTTGACGCCGATGGAGCGATCTGGAAAAGCCTTTGAACAGGGAAAAGAAATCCTTTAAATTTAAAAAGTATGTAATCCACCATGTGGGATAGGCTAAGCAAGGTGTTACGTGCATGCCACGCGTGGACTTTTGGGCTAGTACGCACATGTCAGGGACCGCGACACATATTTTGGATCTGGGGGTCTAACGACCTCYAAATGCGGGAGTATTAAGGGAGTCTAGATCTCCCCCAGGAAATTTTGAAATAATAACTCTTGGAATGTCCAGCATTTTGAGAGACATCGAGGGCTTATAAAAGGGATCAATAAATTTTATGTGAATTTTTCAGTAATTTTTCTTGCCACTAGTACGCATGTGCGTATATGCGTAAAGGACGCTACGCGTCTGCATGAGACAGATGGCAATTCCTTTAATAGATGGCGTGGGAAATCATTCAAATGATTCTTTAATGTCTTATATAATGACAAAAAAGGCTGCGCTGAGGAAATTGATCCTTGAAGCCAAGACTACAGGTCAATGGAACGTTTGATCAGCTGCATCACTAATTGATATCAAACAAATGAGTTTGATATACAGTATATATATGCGACGGCATTTCAGGTCAATCGAACATTTAATCAAGACAACATCACTAATTGATACCAAAACAAACCAATCGTGTACTGGAATAATTGCGGGTCATTCGAACGTTTCATCAATCAAAAAAAATAACACTAACACTGCATTTGATATCAAAAGATTCGATAATTTTATCCAGTTAAAGACCACAAGCAATTCCTATTTCAGACTCAGACTTATGACTAATCTTCGATGTGTGGCTATTCCATGCCACGACCCCTGGTAGTGACCACGCCCATTTTACTAAACCCTTCTTATGTAAACACCTCCCCCTGTCCCTCCTTCCCGTGCCTAATTTGTGGCCTGAGGCGTAATCAAAATTCTTTTGTTGAACCTCGACTAACCTTAGTCGTGAATTGATGTAATTGTATCATTAGCATATGCCGTGAGAAGGTGATGTGTTTTTAATTACTAACAATGTAGTATCAGAAAATGTATTTTTTCACTTCGATCAAAGATAGTCGTTCATGAACCGCTTTGAAAAAGGCTTTGAAATATACTTTTCATAGTGCCATAGAGAGTACTTATATCTTAGAACAGGAAGCTGATCAGATTAAACAT